CACCTTACATCTACAATGCTAGCCCAATTGAAAAAGACACGAAAACAACAAATGCTGGAAAGGTTATAAAGAGAATGGAACCCAAACACACAGTTGGTGAACTTTGAAATACATACAACCACTGTGGAAAATGACATGGCAATACTCAAAGCAATTGGCAATTGACATCATGTATGACCCAGCATTATACTTATTAGGCGCCTACCCCAAAGAAATAAAGAGACACAACACAAATGGATGTTTGTCCTCCCATGTTTATAGCAGCACAGTTCACAATAGCAAGAAACTAGAAACAGCCCAAAAGCCCACCAATGGAAAAATGAATAAAGAAACTATGGTACATATACAAAACATAATACTATGCATCCCTAAAAAATAGTCATGACAGCAGGAAAGGCCTCATGCCATGGAAGGACCTGAAAACCATTATGCTGAGTAAAGTTTGTCAATCACAAAAAGAAAAATATTGTATGAGTTCACTCAGATCTTAGAAGCCAATTCCCAAACAAGGGGTAGAAAGTCTGTCTACTGGCACTTCATAAGAACCACTTCAAAAACTGAGACTTCACACTGAGACAAGGCTGCAACCAATCAACAAGCACTCCACAGGAATGAGAAGAGAACCTTACTGAAAAAAATCAAAGTTAAGACCAGAGGAGGGGAACATCTCCATTTCAGAGGAGGCACTGATATTACTGTTGGTGGCTATGATAAGCAATTGAGAAGAGCCACCTCACATTGGGAAAGGATGTTAAACAATACCAGTAGGGAACCTAAGGGGAGAATAAACCTGGTTCTATGTTTCTACCTAACCCTAGGTGAAACATGCCGTGGACTAAGCACTAGGATGACCTTAAACTCTGACCTTACAGGGAACATGGAACCCAAGGAACACACCAGAAGGATTCAATATGGAAGCAAAACTGAATGAACTGGGACCACCTTAAATCTACCTGTATCCCTTGGACTTAGGGCTTTAATTCCTTCATGGGAGAGGAAGCAAAAGATGGCCACCAAAAGACTGTGGAAGTGGTGGTTGTTGGACCTTGGGTGGGAACCCTGGCTTAGTGGGCATCCAATGAAAGGGAATCCATAACTGCCATATATTTAGTATCTCAATTCTCCCCTTGCATTAATTAATATGCCAGGTATTATTCTGATAGGCAAGGGCATACTCCTCATGGTCATTGTAAACAGAGCCAAATCATTTAAGAATTTGATCTGTACAAATCAACAACTCATGAATTGCAGTTCGCAGCTGGACTATAATTGAATAAATTCTTCTCCACAGTACCTTAAACTCAATGCCATTGGATGAATTACAGATGCTATCAATGCAATCACCTTATACCCAGGCCAGGGGGTGGGAGGAGATTATAGACAATATTTTTAGGGTTTTCTATTTTGTTTGGGAGGGGAGGTGTGTTTGTTTGTTGCTTGTATGAGATTTTTTGTGTGTGTGTTTTGGTCATAAAATGTAATATGACTGCTAAAGTAAACCAGAGTTTTTTTCTTAGCCTGTGAAAAAGCAGATGGACTCTGGGGTCCTACTTAATTCTCACCCCAATCTAATAGCAGTTAGTTCTTATAACATGGCCCTGCTCCATACTCTCCTTCATGAAGAGATCATTGAAGACAAGGGTGCTTTAGCAAAGTGTGGTGAAAATAGCAGATGATGCCCAGTTATCAACTGAAATAGTGTCTGAGGTCTTAAAGGCTTGTATTCATTCACACAAGCAGCCATCTAAGTGACGGGATAAGTACATATCGAAGAAGCACACCAGCCTGTGTGATCCAAAGTTGACAATAACAAAATCCAAATTATGATGAAGGGAAAAGTATCAGAGCTTAAAACTGTGAACAACCAATTTGTAAAAGGCTATGGAGGGGTGGTAGCCCCAAATCCATCTGCAGAGTATCTAAACAGAATCAGCCCCTGGCTGATCCCCTCTGGCCACAGGTGAAGGACTCAAACAGCTTTACTATCAGAGATTATTGTAAACTTGATTTACAATGGATGGAACTACAGTATGATACTTGCTCAGATGCCCTCCCTCTTGGCCAAACTTGAATTTGCTCTTAGGTTGGTTATTTCTCACTTGTTCCACAGCAGAAATTTCCTCTCCGGCTTTAAAAAAATATTGCTGGTGATTTTTTCTTTCTTACTCTTTATTTTAATTTTTTTATCTTTATACTATTATTTTTTCTGTTTAATTTTTGTTTTTCTCTTTATTGTTTCTGATAGCTTTCCCAATTTATAAAGCACAGAAGGAGTGATTGCACAGAGAGAGACAATTACTGATAAAATTCTTTAAAGGGGAAGGGAGTGGGGAGTGTGAAAGGAATTGGGAAGCACATAATGCACACAAAAGGCAGAAGGGAGCACGAGAACTGATTGTGATGAGGTATATACAACTCTTTAAAACCGATTTAACTATGGAAGTGTATGATATGTGAACTTCATATCAATAAGACTATCATTAAACAATGATGTTCACAACTGTTTGTTCTCATTTTGTGTCATGATCCCTCAGCAAACGGAGGTCCCAATAACTTTACTATATTCATGTCATTAGTGTGGGCTCTGCTTTGAGAAAGCAGCTCTCCTCGGCCATATAGTATGTGCCTTCCAACTTGAGGCAATCATATGGCACTATCTCTGACAATGTTCCATTACTATTCATGAGGTTTTATTCAAAATTCTACTGCATTTCAAAAAGTTTTTCGGGGGCTAATTCCTCAGACATGAACAGCCTTTTCTTCCTAATCTAGTTTTCATCTGGAAGTTCTGCTGAAATCCGTCCATTCACCTTGGGTGACCCTGCCAGTAACTGGAATACTGTTGACATAGCTTCTAGCATCATAGCAACACACAAGCCACCACAATATGACAAAATGACAAACAAGTTATGGGTTACATGGCCAATAAATGTAATGTCCGGGACTTTAGTTCAGTGGTCTGGCTACAAAGTCCAGGTAGCTACCATGTTACTCTAAAAAAATCACTGAGTATAAAAAGAAAAGTGCTTCAATTTGAATATACTAATCTTAATAATCCCCATTTATCAGAAATACCATAAGACAAGTAAAGAGATAAGGCTACAAAACATGAAAATGTATACATAACATATTAAACAACCCTTCATTGCCATCGAGTCAATTCTCACTCATCTTATAGTACAGAGCAGAGCTGCCACGGTCGGTCTCTTAGACTGGAAGACTTTATGAAGCTGGAAGCCTCATCTTTCTCCCTCCGAGCCGATGATATTTTCAAACTGTGCATGTCCGCATTAGCAGTTCAAAGCAAAACCAAATATGCTATCAGGGATCCTATGCAACACATGTGTAACTAAGAAAAAAATTAGCTTTCAGAATATATTAAAAACAGTTCTACAAATCACCAAGAAAAATACAACAATCCAGTACACTAAGCAATATGAAGAAATAATATGAAAAAAAAACATTTCCAAGAAGCGGAAAAAACTGACTACTAATCATAATGTACTATGTAAAATTACTATAGAAACTCTTGAACACGTGAGAAGTAAATTAACATGGCCTACCTACTCACAATTCCATATGCGATGTACTATAAATTTTAGATTGTATGCCTGTAGCTATAATCCTATTTGGGAGGAAGTTCTTTGCTAAACTGGAAGACAGTAATAAATTGGGATTAAGTTTCCATTTTAGGAGAAGGCATAAACCAAGTTATCTCCCTTTGTTGCCTTGAAAGTATGGCCTGCTGAAAGATAAAAATCGCATCTCTATCAAAGTCATTCTTCTGTGTATAAGAGTCATCTTGGAAGCACAAAGAGAAGTCACAAGACCGTTGGAAAAAAGCCCACCAGTGGAAGCTTTTTGAGGTCACTATATGAAATGGGTGAGACGGAGACCAGGAGCAAGAGCAAAGGATCTGAGCCCCCACCAAAGGCTGAGGCAAGGAAACCTTGGCACAGAACGGAGGAGCAATACCTAGACTATGAGACCATGAGGCAGAGCAGCAGGCTGGCTTCAGGGCCCACAGATGCAGAGGTCAAGGGACCATGTGGCAAAGAGGATCTAAACGGAGATTTGACTGCTGACTGAGAAAAGGCCTTGCTGTGGATCAATGACTACACCCTTACTGTTTATTGATCCTGACTTGTGGTAACCTGTTAACATCCCTAATAAAGCTCCACAAGTATGAGTTTTATCTGTGCGTTCTATGTGGCCACTGCAACAAATTATCAAACCCGTAGAAAAGTAGAGTAAGGGAGTATAGTTAAGGGAGTAGCAGTTGATACAATATGTAAAATTACAGTGAAGAAAGTTGTGCGAGTGGAGGCATGTCTGACCCTTGCTTCATGGAAACAGAGAAGCAAGTGCATATCAGATATGGTCTCTGTGCTATTTTACTCAACATGTATAATCTGAAACATGCACAAGGATTCTCAAATTTGAGATAAAAGCTGGAAACATTCTAAATGTTTATCAGGATAAAACTGGAAAAATATGCTGTACTCTATAGAATATGATACATAAATGAAACAGATAAGCTTTAATAATAAAAAAGATGAATCTTTGAAACATAATACTGTTTTTTTAAAAGGAATTTACAGTATGACTATGTCTCCAAAAAGCTCAAAGCCAGGCAAAACTAAATGTATCAATCAGTTAAGCATGTAATCAAGCACATGGGTAGGCAACTAAATAGATTATGAAGAGGGAGGGGGAAAAATGAGGAGCTAATACCAAGGGTTCAAGTAGAAAGCAAATGTTCTGAGAATGATGATGGCAACAAATGTGCAAATGTGCTGGACACAATGGATGGATGTATGGATTGTGAAAAGCGATGTATGAGCCCCCATTAAAATGATTTTTAAAAAGATTATCAAAAATAGGACAACAGAGTATATGTTTCGTGCACCAAATGACTGGCTTTCATTTAATAATTTATAAATTTCACCTCATGCATGTATCATCTTTAAAAGAAACAAGAGAATCAATGCCAAACTTACCTGCAGAAACACTGGGGTAGTTCTCCTTGACCATATAAAGGAAACAAAAACGGACTGTTGCCATACCGCCCAAGACAATGAAGAAAGTTTCTGGTAGCTTTAAGACCATCTATGGTAGTGCTGGTTGTCTCTGATGTCATTGCAATTGAATGCAGCACAAAATATTGGAGGTTGGGGGTTAATTTTCGCATTTTTAAATATTCAGAAAATGTAATCTCCTCATAAGCTACGGAATGAAGATGAAAATGTATCTATTAAAAATCAGAACTAACCTTCTATTCAAACCACACTACAAAAAAATGAGATTACAACCAAAAAACTCATTGCCATCAAGTCAATTCTAATTCACAGTGTGACCACCAAGGGTAGAGCAGAATTGCCCCTAATAATTTTAATCTTTACGATAGTAAAAAGCCTCATCTTTCTCCCATGGAGCAGCTGGTGATTTCAAACTGCTGGTCTTGGGGTTAGCAGCCCAACATGTAACCCACTATGCCACCAGGGCTCTGTCACAAAGGATACGTGACATAAGCACATATTACTTTTGGAACCAGAGTTGATTGTGAAAAAAGAAAAAAGCTATAAACAATCTCAGTATCTCAACTGAATTATTTTAAGCTTGAAACGTATTTTTACAGAGTATTTACTAAAAAAACTAGAAAAACCTTATGTAACCCATTGGATTTCTATAGCTGGCAATAACCTCACTTTACTATCATTATAACTATACAATATCAATCATTGAGTTTGAAAATATTAAATAAATGACAAAATAGAAGTGTTTGGGTGAGAATAATGGTGGAGTAATACTTAACTTTTTTAAAATGTATTTCTTACTAAAAGAGTAATCACTATGATTAAAAAGTAATAAAACTAATTTCTGTGTGGCTAATAATCTTATTGCCCTTATAGCAAACCTCAAAACAGTAGGAAACCCTTGAAATTACTCCAGTAAATTAAGAGCAAAAAACACACCATACTCGGACTACTCTCACTGCCGTCTATTACAACTCATAGCAACTCTACAGGACAGGGTAGAACTGCCCTTGTGGGTTTCCACGACTAGAACCCTTTATGGAAACAGAAAGCCTCATCTTTCTCCTGCAGAGTGGCTGGTGGTTTCAAAATGCTGACCTTTTGAGGATAGCAGCCCAAGCAAATACAAATCTATGACAAAACCAAACCTTTATAGAAATAATTTACATAAATAATTATAAAACTTATTGAGAGAACTTAACTTTATACAGCCACTTGGAGAATAGTCTGGCAGCATCTGTTCAGTTGCTATGAGTCAAAATTGCCTCTGGGGCATTGAGTTGAGTGGACTTATAAGGGGGTCCTTGGGTTGTGCCAACAGTTAAATGTTCAACCATCAGTCAAAAGGCTGGCAGTTGGAACTCACTCATATGTGCCTCAAAAATTACGTCAGGCAATCTGTTTCTGAGAGGTCACAGCCTTGAACACTCTATGGCGCAGTTCTACTCTGCACACGTGGACGAGGTCACCGCTACTAGGCGTCAATTCAACACAGACTAATAACAAAATAGCCTTCAATCTTTGTATATAAGACCAAGATTGTTATTATTTCACGTACTTAAAACATACTGCATTTCACATTATAACTTGATAAGCTGTCAATTTGGGGTAACTTTTCAAGTCCAATACACTAACTTACTGAATACACTCGTGTAGAAGCCAAGTTTTTCAGCACAGTTTTTATGCCGTTTTTGTGGTAAAATTAGGTGCTTCGGCTGATATTAGGGTCGGCTTATACTCGAGTATATAACTCTTGATACTAGTCAATTCAATTACGAATACAATATGAAGTAACTGGATCCAAGACAGTGAGATGAATCAAAACCAAGATTTGATATCGTCCCCTTTCTTAACCAGTATTTTTTTTTTAGTATACTATGTATCCTCCCTTTTTATAAAGCAAAATGACTATTCAAGATTCCAAGTCAAATAATCCTGGGCAGATCAAGAAATACCTATTTTTCAAATGATTACTTTTGGTATGAAAAAGTAATAGAATAATAATGAGAAGTGAAAATCGCCTATAAAGAACCAGTGTAAATGGTAAGACTAAATATTAACATCTAACAGAATTTTTTTTAGTAACAAAAATGTCTCGTATCTGCTCTGAAAAATGTAGCAGTCACTAGCCATGTACGATTATTGAGTACTTGAAGTATGTTAGTGTGGTTCAGGAGGCAACTTTTAATTTATTAATTATAATTAACTTAAATTTAAATACCTATATGTGACAAGTGATTGGCTAATAGATTGGAAAGTAAAGAGTTATAATGTATTTTAAAATAGTAGTAAGTGGCTCAATAAACATAGTAATCATTTTAAGAAAGCTCATGTAATTGGTGAATACAAATTAAAGAAATAATAATACCTTTATATTCTTCAGGATGTTCCTCATAGTCCATACAAAATGTGAGAAATTTCATTAGAATTCGCTTTTCAACCATCGTAAGTTGTTTGCTACTAAAGACATCTGCTCTGGAACAAGGAACCTGAAAAAATATATGATAACTTAAAAATCTACTTCCTCAAAATACAAATAATCTAACCTTTTTCCTTAAAATTTACTATGACCATTATTTCCACTTTCTAAGGCTGTTTCAATCAGTTCTAGCAACATCTCTGTTGACTTCAAAGATAATTAAAGTATATACTCTTTTACATTTAATTCTGTCAAGACGCTCCTTGTCATTAAAAGGCCAATGACATGCTCCCTCCCTCAAAACTTGGGAAAAATGACACCTCAAATCTAGAAATACTGTATGAAACTTGATACTTTGTCAACACCAATATCAAGCTGCTACACAATGCATTGGGATACTAACATTAGTAATGTTAACTAATGAATAATTTCTGTTTGAAGATCTTATACTTTATATTTATAAATCACCATATAAGATTAAAATTCAGTGCTTTACCAGAAAGAAAACCATCCTATTTTCTCAAAAAAAAAAAATTTAAAAAGCTGAAGCTCACAGCCATATACAGTACCTGTTCCACTCTTCCATCTAGAAATGCAAGAATCCTGGTGATATTTTTGAACTCTGCATACTGACTAATATTTGATTTGATTAGAAGATCAATGAGCAAACCTCGAGAATACAGCAGCTGTATAAAAATATTTTAGAAGGTAAAAAGGTAAAATAGAGAAAATAAAGCTAAATGCTAAATACAGATTATCTAATTTCATTATATTTCTAATTACTCGTAAAAAGCATTAGAGCTACAAATACTATAATGCATGGCAAAATAAATCACAAGTTAACAATTGATTATGTAAAATTCAAAATCTAAAAAGCTTTGGAACCTACACATTTTTTCCCTAACTTGTTGGCAGCAATAACCTGGCCCAAAAAGATGTGAGGCACCTGTACCTGTGTTTATTCCATTTAATTTGAATATTCACATTTTTCACCACAGAAATATTACCGTTTGGCTGTAGAGTGTTTCCTTTAACCTTAAAAATGTATGACACACAAACTAAATTACAAAACACATTGGGCCTCATGGGTTTATGAGAAAGGACTATAAAATTGGTATGGCCAAGCGCTTATTAAGAAGAAAATAAAAAACAACCCTGCTAGATTTCACTCCCTCAAAAAATGAAAAGCTCTATAGTACATATCCACTGAAATGCTCAAATTATAAGGTCTATATGTAATCTAGAAGTCTAGATTTATATGAACTATATCTCGAGAAGGATGTTAATTATTGCCATCATGTACATGAGAAATTGATTTAATCTTTCAACATCTCTCATAACAAATACCAGAGACAAAAACAATAAATACAACAGAGTATTATTATCTAGCATGTTTTATGTTTACCCATATTGACATTGCAACAGCATTTGTATAGCTCATGTATCAAGATATGTTAAAAATGTCTATAACTTGATAAATGCTAAAAATCCAATAAGTGGGGAAAAGACAAAAATGTAGGTAGTGTTACTACAAGAAAAAAAAGGGAAGCTCAAAATCAATCTATATCATTAGTCTGGGCATCCAAGAGGTCAGTAAGACTTGCTGTAAATCAAGATCACTAAGTGATTTTTATAAACTATTAGATGAACTCAGCATTGTACCAAACAAACAAAAGCGACATTGTTTTTTTGTTTTGCTTTTTTTAAACTAATCTGGTTACTCTGACTAAATAAAGCATGTTCCTTGATTATTTTCTGCTTAACACACTTTCACAAGTGATATATCCCATATTTTTAAGAAATTATTATCGAGTCTGAATTGCATAAGTATAAATTATTGACGATTACTTCAAATACCTCATTTGCTTCAAAAAACTAACAAGAGAGTCACAGAACTCTCAGTAGCCATAATAATTTTACAAATGCTATTATAAAATATGTTTTCATTTACTATGATCTAATAAAATCTTGGAAGTGCTGTTGGTAAATTGTTGATCATAAAGTCAGAAACCACTAGCTACTGTATGGTAGAAAGAGGATGTAATCTGTTCTCATAAAGATCTGTAGCCTCAGAAACACTAAATAGGATCTCTAAGAGTTGGAATTGACTCAAGAACAGTGGTGTTGGTTGGTGGATTGGGTGGTTTGGTTGGTTGAATAAAACTTAAGTTTCAAATCACTAGCTTAAAAAGTAATGCATATGATGTACCAGAAAAGAATGAAAACAAATTTCAATTAAAAGTATGCTAGATTTGTCTTTCCAAAGCCAAAAATTTATAAATATGTAGCATATTTAAAAGGAATCCTCTTTTTTACCGCCTTCTAAGTGATTCACTATAGTAATTTCAGAGTGGAAAGAAGCTAAAGAAAACTCCAATTAAAAATATTAGAAACTAGACATTAGATTAATAATTAACAAATTACACCTCTTGGAATATTGTTTCCAATATTATTAAGGGTATAAACTGTCTTAGAAATAAGTTTTAGCTGTAAGAATTACATGACTAATTATCTTCTGCACTAGTCAAATTAGTCGAATACTATATTCTGTTCAACTACCTTGCCACAAGTTGTATCCTTTTTAAAGTAAAAATACAGATTTTTACTTTTTAAAAATCTATATATGTGGATGCACTTTGTGAAATGCAAAGTGCCACTATACTTGTTAGCTTTTCAATTATGAGTTTTAGATGAAACAGCTGTAGAAATGTCAACTAGTTTGGAGAAAGCAAACTTTAGGAAAGCAGACTTTAGGAAAGAATTAGTGCTTATGCTGGAAGTCTGGCAATCATCTTAAACTATGTAAAACTAGAATTATAGGGAAAAATGAAATTTCTAAGAAGGAGTAAGTGATTGTTTCAATACCATGGAATACACTGCTATCCAAAAAGTAGCCACTGAATAGGTGCTCATTAAATGAGTAACATTAAAAGTTGTAAAATTCTAGAATTAAGAGTGAAGAAAATCAAAGATGCAAGGAAAGGATTAGTCCAGAGAACTAATGGATCACATAAATCCCAACCTCTGAGTCTAGAAGAACTAAGTGGAGTCCAGTGACCACTGTTGAGCACTCTCAATGGGCTCCTAATAAGAGCTCCTGGATAGGGTGGGAGAAAAATGGGAAATGAAACTGGTTAGCTAGAAACTGGTAGACCCTCCTGGGGAACTTTTGGCTCTTACACAGCCTTTAGGCCTGGAACTGAACTTGTCCCTTTGGCTCAACTTTCAGTCAAGTGACAGACAGGCCTATAAGGTAAACACTAACACCAGGGTCATAAACACAACCATGTGACATCTAAGAGGAACATTTGCCCTAAAATAAAGCTCAGAATGCAGGAAAGGACAAGAAAAAAGTGTGAATCAAAATGATAAACACAGGGAAGAAATGAGAAAAGTGCTATAACATTGTAGGGACTACAATCAATCTCACAAAACGTGTATAAATTGTTGAACGGAAAACAAAATTTTATGTACATTTTCACCCTAATCACATTTTTATAAACAAAAAAGTAAAATAAATGTCTTGTTCTAGTATGCTTATAAGTTCTTTAGATTGTCCTGTCTTTATAGAATAAGGAAAATAAATGAGTACTAGTTATTTTTTTATTTTTCTTTATTTTTAACATTTCATTAGAGGCTCATACAACTGTTATCGCAATCCATACACACGAGTACTAGTTATTTTAAACCATATATTCTCATGCAAAATATACAGAATAATGTACAACTGCCTAAATTTCTCTTGGCACTGTGATTTTTTAATTACCTCTAAGAGAATCAGTTATTAATCAAACAAACCCATGGAAATGTTCATAAGGCGGCTTCAGAATCTATTCATATGTCTCAGTTTAACAGTTTCCCCCACCATATGACTGAGGCTCTTATACAAACACAACTAAATTTTCTACAGTAATTTCTAAAATCAAAATAGTACTAACGCATATCATTTTCCTTTATAGGAAAGAAAGAGAGTTTCAAAACATGTTGAAAAATGTAACTAAAAGATAATGGTATACTATATTTTAGTTAACATAAATGATTACAGACTTTAATGAGCTAGCCTTGATTTTAACCACTACTTATATCACTGTTTCACTCCAACTTCCAAGTAACTAATACAAAATAAAATTTTTGGAGAAAATCCCATTTATTATCTGACAACTTCAGTTTTTATATTTTTGTTTTCTAACATTTCACTGCATACTACTGTTCACAACAACAGGAAGACTAGTGAGCTACAATTAAAACTACTATTCAGAAACTGGGAGTCAAGGTACTGCAGAAAGAATGCCGTACTTCAACAAATAGCAAGGTCAAAGTTTATGGACAAAATAATGCAGAAATATGAGGTAAGACCAAAGAAAAACACAGTAAAAATATACTCATATTGTCAGTAATTAAGTCCAAAGATAACAGTATAACGATAATGGATTATATCAGGAATGTGACAAGTGAGCATTATTCTCTTTTTACTAGATAACTTGGACCTTTCATTAAGAAAGCGTGCAATTTAAAAAGCTACGTTTTGGGAAAAGTAGGTATCATTCACTACGCACTTATTTCTTTTCAATCTCTCATTGCCCTCTGATAGTCTTGGGGTTCTGTTTTACTCTACTTTTACCTAATCGTTTTTCTTGGCCTTTTAAGATCATTATAATCTAATTAATGTTCTATTCATTTGCATTAAGACCTTTGCTTTTAAACCTTACATTTGAACCTTCCTGGTGGTGTAATGGGTTGTGTGTTGAACTGCTAAGTACAAGGTCAGCAATTTGAAAGCAGCATCTGCTCTGGGGGGAAAGATGAGGCTATCTACTCCCAAAGACACTTTCAGTCTAGGGAACCCACAAGGGCAAATCTACTCTGTACTGTGGGATCATTATGAATTGGAATTGACTTGATGGTAGTAAGAAGACCCAGGCATCTCCTCTAACTTAACATCAAAGACGCAAACATGACCTAGCACACTCATGAATCTAGCATGTTCGCCTTTCCTGCAAGTGAGCCTTTTCTGCCCTCCAAATACCCTTTGTCTGGCCATTACTGATGGAAGAGACCACTTCTTTTGCTTGTTTATGTTATTTTCAATATTTAAAGCCTTATAAAGGGAAGTGCTTATATACAAGGGGGTACCACCCCACCCCCAAATAAAACTGGACAAAAGCTCTGCTGGGCAGACCTTTCGTAGTACACATTTTTTCCTGCTAGGTGAGCATCAAGCAACTGGCTCTGAGTCTGAGCTTCACCTGGGAAGGTTCTCTCTAGGCACAGTCAATTTTTTCATAAAAGCAGTTTCACTAGAACCTCGTTTATTTTGTGTGATGGCTGTTTAAGAGAACAGTGTGCTGCTGTGAAATTTTGTTTCCTGCTCAGGAAAAATGCTGCAGAAACTGTTGTGATGTTGAACATAGTTTACAAGGACAGCGCTATGAGAAAAACTCGAGTGTTGGAGTGGTTTTCTCATTTGAAAAAAGATGAAATGTCTATGGGCGACAAATCATGTTCTGGACACCCATCAATTTCTCAAGTGGGCCAAAATGTCGACTCATAGTGCATTTGGAGTTCATTCCACCAGGTCAAACTGTTAATCAAGTTTTCTATTTAGAGGTTCTGAAAAGATTGCTTAACAGTGTATAACAAAAATGGCCCGATTTGTGGCAGATGGGGGCCCGGTTTTGCCACCAAGGCAATGCACCTGCTCATGCAGCCATCTCAGTGCACCAGCTTTTGGCAAAAAAGAGCATGCCTCACTTGTCCCACACACTTTCCTCACCCGGCCTCATACCATGTGACCCCTCACACACACACACACACACACACACACAAATGCAGAGGGGCATAAAAGGACAGCAATTTGATGACATAGACGAGGTGTAGAAAAACGAAGGAGGGGCTGTCAGCCAACCAAACAAATGAGATTGAAAAATGTTTCTAAGAGGTGAATCACAGAATTGACAAAGGAATTAAGTATAATGGAGAGTACTGAAGGTGGTAAGGGTGTTTTCAAGAAATATTAAATACACCGCATCCTGTGTAGCAATAATGAAACATACAACTTTCCTATTTCTTAATTGCTTCTTCCCCCCCGCCCCCCACTATCATGATCCCAATTCTACCTTACAAATCCGGCTGGACCAGAGGATGTACACTGGTACAGACAGGAACCAGAAACACAGGGAATGCAGGACAGATGAACCCTTCAGGACCAGTGGTGAGAGTGGTGACATCAGAGGGTGGAGGGACGGTGAGATAGAAAGGGGGAACACACTACAAGGATCTACATATAAGCTCCTCACTGGGGGAAGGACAACGGAAAAGTGTGTGAAGGGAGGGAGACGTTGGACAGTGTAAGACATGACAAAATATAATAATTTATAAATTATCAAGGGTTCATGAGGGAGAGGAGGTGGAGAGGGAGGGGGGGAAATGAGGAGCTGATACCAAGGGCTTAAGTGGAGAGCAAATGTTTTGAAAATGATGATGGCAACTAATGTACAAATGTGCTTGACACAATGGATGGATGGATGGATTGTGATAAGAGTTGTATGAGCCCTCAATAAAATGAATTTTTAATATTAATTGCATAGCTTTGAAGAAGAAAAAAACATTTTGGGGGGTATCCCCTCGTATATAAAAACACCAATGAGTTTAATTCTTTCTGAACGTTATTTTTTTTACCATTTTTTGTTTATTTGAAGTCCCATGTATCCAATGCAAGCAAATAATAGAAAAATAACAAATATTGTGAGAGTTAATCATGTAACATTGGAATTGAAAGTACCCTAAAATGTTTTCCATGCCTCTTTTAGAAAGAAAAATGTAGAGCAGGGGTTTGCCATCCTCCCTGGTAAATTACTAGTCCTGTCAAACTGCACTTTGTCACCTCTTAGACCTACACTTTCATTTATTTTTGACATACCCTTTATGAGTGTATTGCTTGTTTCTGTTTGTTTATCTATCATTTATAGTGATGTTAGTATTTACAGAATAGTTTTTACAATCAACAATTTATACATATTTGTGACATTTATTGCAATTCCCATAATGTTATAGCACTTTTTTCACTTCCTCTCTGTTTCCTGGTTTCTACTTATCCTATCCATTTCTATTTTTCTCTGCATCTGAGCTTTTCCTTGGATAAATACTGCCCTTTTGATGTTGCATGGTTAATTGTTGTAAAAAATTCATATCTCAGTGTTATTGTTCACTTTTGAGGCCTATCATTTGGTCGAAAGTTGAACCACAGAGTGAGCTCAGTACCAGTTTTGAAGAGTGCTCAAAGACCATTATCCAGTGGTCCACCCATCTCTAACGACCAGTAAACCTGCTCTTTTTTATAATTTTGAGATTAGTTCCACATTTTTCTCCCACTTTATCCAGGACCTTCTCTTGTTAGCCCTTTCAGAGTAGTACCACCTAGTTCTTTTGGACTTGGGCATGGAGGCTGAATTTCATATGTTCTGTTAGTCCTTTGGACTACTTGTTTCCATGTATCTCTGATTTTCTTTACTTTTCTTTGCTTTGTATGGGAATACACTAGTAGTTGCACCTTAAATTAGTGTTTCCCAAAGTGGGCAATACTGCCCCCAGGGAAGTGCTGGAATAGTCCAGGGGGGCTGCAAAAACAGATACCTATACTTTATCCTGGATTATGGGCTATAGTACAAAAGTTCATAATTGCCAGGGGGACACTGGGTGATTTTTTCCCCCCCCTGAAACAGGGGAAGTAGGCAAAATACATTTTTCTGAAAAGGGGGAAGTAGGTCAATTAAAGTCAAATGCCATATATACTCGAGTATAAGCTGACCCAAGTATTAGTCGAGGCACCTAATTTTACCACAAAACTGCATTAAAAATGTGCTGAAAACTCAGCTTATACATGAATATATATGGTAATTATGCCTTAAATGAATTTTTTATAAGTCATATCTATAAGACGTTCTTGCACATGTATATAGCTTATATATATAACCACTTCCTTTTATAAGCCTCTAAACATTGAAAATAACATAAAGAAGCAAAATGAGTATTCTCTTCTATCAGTAATGGCCAGGCTGGAGGGCAGGAAAGGCTTACCTGCAGGAAATGGGAACATGCTAGAATGCAGTTTATTTTAAAGTACTCAGGTGGACAATAAGCTATGAAAGTATCATAATTATTCAGCAGCCTCCATGGAATAGTATTTTTAGTTGCTAAACAGGGTAGTCTCCATCCCGAGGACTACTGACAACTTGTCTTGCTACATAAAAACACCTTAGCTGCACAGGGATATGACAAGGCATATCTGAAGAGTGCAAGTCCACATTCAGCTCCTTAGTTGAGAATATAAACCCAACCAAATAATTCATATGAGGAATTATACTGGATGCTATCAATTGAACAGTGTCCCCTAAAATGTGTTGGAATCCCTGTAACTGTGATTTCAATCTAATCAATTAGCATGATATAATATATTGTAAAACAATCAATCAGATCAGGCTATACCAGTGTATGCTAGATTCTAAACTTAATCAGTTCTGAATTATATAAAGCCAGTATAGACATATACACAAGTTGAAGAAGATGAAAGATGTGTTTTGAGAATGAGGAGGGCAATGAATGTACAAATGCGCTTTACACAATTGATGTGTGTATGGATTGTGATAAGAGTTGTATGAGGCCCTAATAAAATGATTTTTTAAAAAAGATTGGAAAAAAACGGATGAATCTACATGCTTAGGAACTCTAAGGATGAATGGTAGCTTCTAGAAGCTGAAATAGATAAGAATGAACCCTTCTCTAGGGCTATACCATGAATTGAGCCTTCTAACTTCTTGAACTGTGATAAAACAAATGTCTACTCTGTAAGGTAAAATAATAAAAAAAATGCATACATCAAATTACCAAGTTGATTTAGTGGACTGGCTGTGAAAACATGGATTAGCAAAAAAGGTTCATCAGTACTCTTTTGATAGAAGAATGCCTACATGTTAACAAAACTAAGGGCTCACACAGTAAAGACTGCTTATGATATAAAAGAATATTTTATTTTAATTATAAAGTTCTGGCTACAGTCTCTTGATAAGTTCATTTCTGAAGTGTAGAACATTTGTTGTACAAAGACATGGAAATTGGGTTTATGGGACCACATCATATTTCCATTAGATTAAAAGTTAGTGTGGTTCTAAGATAGGATGGGTAAAAGTGGTACTTACCTTTGATACCAAATCAATATTAAATCTCCTGCCTTCTTTAACAATTTGAGAGTAAGTAATCGTGTTTTTCCTTAGTTGTTCTGCATTGTTTTCTGCTGTAGGTACATTTTCATTTTTTTCATTTTCTTTAGTTGCCTGCACATGAGTTTTATCATGACAATGATTTTCTTTCTCCGCTACTGCTTCAACATCATTTACTTCTGGGCCACTTTCTGGATTACTGCTTGCAGTTTGGTCTGCGGGTATTTCACAGCTCACAGTGCTTAATGACTCATCTTCTGAAGGTACATAAACAGAATGTGCAGCTTCTGTGTAATTCACAGATGTCACGGACGCATGATTTTTTTGCAATGCACCAGCTTCTTCAACATCTTCATGAAAATCCTGACTAATGAGAAATTATAATAATAACCAACACCAAATTTTGATAATTGTACTCAAGAACATTTATATGCTGCTTGAACTTTACATGTCAATTTTTATTTCTTTATCCCATTTTTCTTATAAGTCTGCCATATGTGACCTAGTCTATAAATATGCATCTGTTAAGGTTTCAAAAGAATATGAAAAATAATTGTGATGAAAAATATAAGTAGAGACTTCCAAGTTTAAGATTCTATATCACATGTATATTTTGGAGACTTTACAGTAGGCAGGAAATTGCTATTTTAGAAACAACACAGTGGTTAAGAACACAAATTTTCAGAAATCAGTAGATCTGGCCTCAAATCTTGACTCTATGACTACATAATACACCCTTCTCCTCACTTATCAACCAGTTAACACTCCAAAGACTAGGTTGTTATGCAACTATCAGCTTTATGTCAAAATGTAAGCTGACCACATCAGATTACCAAATGGAAGATGGCTACATCATTACATAACTCCCAAATCATCACATTATAAATATGCCAAATTATATCATGACATAACCAGCAAACTATCATTACATAATGATAAGATGTCAACATTATATAACAGACATACCACTGAGAACCATGGCTCAGCCAAGCTGACAGAAAACCTCAATCATCATAGCCAGCATTAATTTCACCTTGGACCTTGGCATTCATTATTGCCAGAGACATGCTAATTTGCAAACTAGTCAAATGTTAGATTTTTTTACTATTCTACTAAATTTGAAATTTCAGTAACGAGATAGTCCATAAGTGAGGAATAACTGTAATGTGTTTCTTCTGGGCAAGTCTTCCCAATCTTAACTATCACTATTCCTCAGCCCTAAACATGACTGCACCCTTCAACAATCTATCTGCTTTAAGAAACAGTTTCTATTCCATATACAAAAGGTTACATTTAATCGAATCATACACATAACTATTATTTCATATATATACATATACACATGCAGTTTACTTATAAATTAACCTTTAAAAAAGAAAACTCCTGGAAGTTAGGAAGCCATGTAAATCGTACACACACACACACACACACACACCTTTTTTTATATCTGAAAGCTACCTATATACCAAGTAACTTGTGCAGCAAAATTACTCTTCAAAAGCAAAGGGAAATAAACAAAAACTGTGGTATACTTGTAGCTATCAAACCTACCTTGCAAGAATGACTTAATCGTGTTCTTCAAATGAACAAGAAAGATCATTAGGCAACCATCTGATGAAGTACACTGAGGGAAAACTATAAATAAATATGTCAATAATGGTATGATCACCAATTAAGGTAATGGTATGGGCCAATGAAAAGATCTATTGCAGGATATTTGAGATGGGTAAACTCAGTTGTTAAGTGTCATAAGCTTCACATCTTCTAATAAAAAATAGTAGAAAGCTATCCAAAGAGATACAGAACACACAATCTGAAAAGTGATATAATAGATTATTTGTTTATATGGTAATTATAGATATTAAGAAAAAAATATGGAGGCTCCAAAAAATTTGTGGAAATTTTCCATTATCTCTTCATTCCATTTTCCTTGAATGTTTTGAAGGCCCGTTATAGTTCATTATAAATATACAGTCTCAAATGGAAAATTTATAGTAACCATTAAAGAGAAAACAAATTGTAAGAACAAATACAAATCGTTAGAAGGCAGAAACCAAATAGACTCATGAAAAGAAAGCATTGTAACACAAATAATGATAAAATTCTAAGGTAGAACAAAGAAATTTTATGGCAAGTAACAAAATAGCAGAAGCAACACCTTCCTTATCAATAATGAACTTAAACGTAAATTACACTGGCTTTAAAAATCAGAGAGGAACAGAATTGATAAGAAAAATGGTACTATCTACAGAGACATAGCTTAGGTCCAAGAACATAAAGAAACTGAAAGTATGGAAGAGAATATTCCATGGAAGTAGTAATCAAAAAAGAGAAAAGGTGACTATACTGTTATCAGACAAAATAGACATTAAGCCAATTATCTATTATAAGCAATTAAAAAGAAACATATAAATTGATAAAAGGGACGAGCCATCAAGAAAATATAACAATGATGAATATTTATACATCTAACATCAATGCACCAAAATATATAAAGCAAATGTTGACAATACCGAAAGGAACATTAGATAGTAAGAGTAGGACTCTTCAACATACCATTCTCAAAAATGAAAAAACCTCTAGAAAAAATCAGTAAGGAAAACAGAGGGCTTAAGCATTTCCATTAAGAGAGATTAAACTGCACAGACATATATAGAACTCTATACTCCAAATCAGAACAATATATATTTTTCTCTAGAGCACATGGGACATTATCAAGGATAGCTCATATGGCTGCTAAGTCACAAAATAAATCTCAAAACAAACAGAATTCAAAGTATTCGATGTAAAATAATGAACACAAAGTAATCACCACTAAGAAATCCACGGCAATATGCACCTACATCAAAAAGAAAGATCTCAAGTCAAGTCTTAACTCTACAAGTTGAGAAACTAGAAAAAAAAGAACAAATCAAGACCAGTCCTACAAGAAGACACAAAACCAGGAAAGACCAAAGAGGAAATATAGTAGATGACACAAAAACAATAGAGAAAAGCAACAAAACAAAGGTACTTCTTTGAAAAGATCAGCTCCATTGATGAACCATTAGCTAAACTGACCAAGGAAACAGTGCTGTATATTTAGGTGTTGTCAGGTTGGCTATGACTGACAGCAACTTAAGTGTTCCCCGTCCAACAATCTCCTAACAATAAGTAAAAATGCACTGTTACCGGTACTAGTTAATATATGCACAGGTTAATTCTAAGCAAAGCATTCTTAAACATGTCTCTGTAATCGTAAATAGCTGCACAATTTCTATCAGTAATGTACATATCTTAGTCTCCTTATGATGCCTTCAAAAACAAGGTTAAATCAAAACAATGGTTTGTAAAGGTACTTCTTTGGTACATTCAAGGCAGAGAGGTGAGTTCAGAAGGTTATGATAACTGTTTTTAGGAACACCAAATGTGCAATCTTGAGAGAGACTTTCTCGGAGGATAATTCTATGAAGAAGTTTTAATAAAACGGAAAACTACATTGTTGAGGAAAAAGCAGGAAAGTTGCAATGAGGGACTTTTTCCATGAGGACAAAATATCTACTCGGTTTCAAAGGTTAAGAATTATTTTTAAGAGAATTTCAATGGAAAACTTTACCCCATCCATCCTACAAGCCTGATCTTGCCTGTTCGGATTTATTTATGTATCCAAACAGATATGTTTGTTCTCTGGTAGTCCATGGCATATTCAATATTCTTCTCCACAACCAGAATTCAAATGGGCCATTTCTTCAAAGATGATCCTTTTTCATTATCCAGCTTCTGCGTGCAAATAAGATGGTTGAAAATAGTAAAGCTGGGATAGGAGGGGAGAGGGAATTATTCTCTGGGAAGTAGGTTTAAGTTTATGGTGATGAAAAAATTAGCGTTACGGAACACTGAAATTACGGCATCATATGTACTTTTATGACAAATGGAGAAAATAGTGAAGTTATCAAGGAAGCAGCAATCAAGAAATGAAATGACATATTCAATTTGGGCAAATCTGCTGCACAAGATCTCTTTAAACTGTTAATGAGCAAAAACGTTACTTTGAAGACTTCAGTACACCTGACTTAAGTCATGGTATGTTCAATCACCTTGTGTGTTGAGATGCTAAAGAAGCAACACCAGTGATGCATGTATGTGTTTGTCTGTAGAAAGAGATCTGTATCAAGAAATGATTATACAGTGAACCCTCGCCACTTCGCGCTTCGACTTCCGCGGCTTCACTCTATC